GGGGGGGGCAGGGCTGAACTCCCCAAATGTGAAACAGCCATCAGGACTGACGGCTAAAATAAATGGTGGACTCATTGGGAGTTGCTTTCCCATCCTCACCGTACCCAGGGCTGAGTGACAAGGGGAAGGTCTGCAGGAAGAGTGCTGGAATAATCTCTGTGAGCGTATGCCTGTCATTCTGACCACTGATCTCGGGCAGGAAGGGTGCTGTTTGTTGCTCATCACTTTATAAACTCCTGTAAAGAGTTAGACTCTTCTCAGTCGGATCACTGCAGGTCAATGCTGGTGGGAGCCTCCAACACCCACCACTCAATTTCTGCAAGTCCCTAGAAGGGGCAGCTGCCTGGGGCCCCTGGGGCCATTGTCAGGCCAGTCCTGGGTAGAGGGGTGATGGGTTGCTCTGGACCCGCTGTGATGAACTGGCTTGCTGTGGCACCCAAGCTGTGACTAACAGCATCTCAGGCAATCTCTCCCTCTCTCGTCCCTGTGCTTGCTCCTGATGTCTCTCTCTTTCCCCTCATTTCACTATTTCTTTTTTCCTTTATGGCTGAGTTTTATAAATGAGAATTCGCCGCCGTCATCCTTGGCAAAGCAAGTGTATGGTGTACATATTAAAATATGAATCTGAATTCCATTTCATGGCCACTTTTCAGAACTCATTCAAACTCCCATTATTTTGTCACTTTACATTAGTTCCCTGTGGCAAGAAATTTTGTTTACTCCTGTTTTGCATTTTAATACATTTAACAATTGTTTATGAGATTTAGCATTTCCAAAGTTTGAATTTATATGGCTCATTGACTACTGCTGCTGATGGAGGAACAGAGGGGTGCTCAGATCTCTGTGTGGGGTGGGGTGGGCTGAAATGCATTTGTGTGTATTTTTCAGTGATGTATGCCTGGATACTGACAAGTAGTCCTGCAGCTGAAACCCAGGAGTCCAGAGTCAGGTTGTTGGCTGTGGGTCTGCTCTGATTAGCTGAGTGACATCAAGACTCAACCTCTCTGAACCTTCCCTAACTTTCAAAATGAACATACAGATACCTATCCTGCTTCCTCCATGGCTCTGTGAGGCTGAAAAGAGATACTAGATGTGGATGTAGATACTAGATTTTTTCCTTCAAAAAAAATTGTTATTGCNTGTGAGGCTGAAAAGAGATACTAGATGTGGATGTAGATACTAGATTTTTTTCCTTCAAAAAAAATTATGTTATTGAACATAATATGTAGGGATTAATTAGGAACTTCAGAAGTTGTCACTTAAAGACTTTAGCCAACTTAGAAACCATATAAGCAGTAACATAAATATAGGTGACATATGCTTTGAGAGGCTATTTTCCATGCCTCACTTTTTCAAATACATTCTCATTTGGCTTTTCACTTTCCATAAAAAACCACTTAAGAGATTTTGCTCAGATGAGCTTCACTGCAGGTAAGCAAAGCCAGTTGAGTGCTGCTAATGCAACCAGGGAGTGCAGCAGAACAAACAGGATTCACAGAGGCTGTGCCAGGCAGAGAGACCTCTTTAGCCCAGGTTACCTCCTTGGAGGCTTAGATAACATCTTGTGCTCTTCCATGATCCAGGTGGCAAATTGGGTCAATTTTACCTGCTTTTCAAACCTGAGGGCTAACAGTAATTTGCAGAGCTTTTTTTAAAATATATCTTTATTGATTTCAGAAAGAGAAAAGGAGAAGGGGAGAGAGAGAGAGAAACATCAGTGAAGAGAGTCATTGATCGGCTGCCTCCGGCATGCCCCCGACTGGGANTATATCTTTATTGATTTCAGAAAGAGAAAAGGAGAAGGGGAGAGAGAGAGGGAAACATCAGTGAAGAGAGTCATTGATCAGCTGCCTCCGGCATGCCCCCGACTGGGAACTGAGCCCGCAATCCGGGCATGTGCCCCGATCGGGAATCGAACCTCGATCTCTTGGGTCATAGTTCGATGCTCAACCACTGAGCCATGCCTGGCCGGGCTGCAGAGCTTTTAAAGGACCAGTTCCATAGGAGCATTGCTGCTATCATCATTTATATTAAAAAGTGCATAAAACCTCAAAAGAAAAGTGCTCCTCCTAAGCATTAATTTCCATAAACAGACCACAGAAATATGGCTGGGATATAATAAGCTGTGATCCACATGGGAAAAATTCTTTTAAAGAAAAAACAACAACTGTGGCAATGTTAACCCAGAATAGCTATTGATCTGTGGTGCTTCCCCACACTTTGTATGACACGCTGGTACACAGAATGGTGACTAAGGACAGAGACTACAACCTTGTTTTCAATTTTCTAGGTGGCATGTAGCTACATAAGAGGGCTAGGAAGCTTGTGTTTTTTGTTTTGTTTTGTTCTGTGGAAGCATTTTTGCACTTTGTCCTTTCCTGAGCTTTCCTGCGAATGCTGACTGTATTTTAGGACCTGAGGCAAGTGCTGAATTATAATCAAAATTCACTTATTGAGCAGAGAAAATTGTGTATTTATCATGCTTGTATAGGTCACCTTCATTCTCAATCTTATTATGGCGATTACTCAGTAACCTGGAATTCCTTCAAAGCTGATGCCTTTCCTTCTAAATGGAAGGCAGAAGACTTCCCAGGAATGTAGACACCCTGGCTAAAATCATTATGCCCCTTAATTCCTACCTTAATTAAAAGGGATGTTTGGTGTAGCTGGCCTGGAATATGAGGAGCCTCTGCTTTAAGCAAGTCCCAGGCAGGGCAAGGAACTATAGCAGAGCAGTCTCTGTGGAGTGCAAATGACACTCTGTGTTTCCCTTTGTCTGTTTGTTTGTCTGTCTCTGCCTGTAGGGAGGGCTCCTTGCACAGAGGATGCCCCTTACCTCTCCTTCCTACACCATGACAGTGACCACTGCCAAGGAGCCAGTGTTCTTGGCTGGCTGCCTTCTGCTTCTTCATTCACAGAGGTCACTGAAATGCAGCCAGCGGGCTCCAGGCTGGCGCCAGTGAGGGCTCTGGCTCCTGGTCTGGATTTGGCACTTCTTTCTTCCTCGTGCCTTTTGCTTGTTTCCAAATCCAAAATGCCTTTCTCTCCTATCTCCTCTCCTATCTACTCTAGCTGCTTCTATAATGCCCTGTGCTGGGCAGTCCTCCCTCTTCTTCCCCAGCTCCAGAGGTGCCCTCTGAGGTGTGGACTGGCCAGTCCCTGCACTCAGGCGTTTCCAGGGAAGGATCTGTAGTGACAGCCAGAGTCCCTCTGGGGTCAGTCCTCAGCCCTTCCTAAGCAGATAGTAGCTGAGCTGAGGCCAGCAGGGTAACTTCCTCCTCTTACCACAGCCCTTGATAAACCAGTTTCTGAAAGTAGACTAGTAAGATGCTTTCTGACAAACTTCCAAAAGGCCCTTACTGGGGTCAGCATCATTGCTGAGACTATAGTGCCCTCCCAGCATCCAAGTGTGAGAGCATAGCCTCTCCATCTCTACTGGGAAGTTATTCATGCCTCTATCCAGCCTTCCCGGAGCTCTTCTTTATTGTAACCTGTTAACCTTGGATTTACACACACACAATGGG